AATTTTAATATTTTAAAATATAATTTTAAGCCACACTCTAATCAGTTGATTAATTAATGCAAGGAACTAACACATCACAGGGTATACAGCAAATCTCGATTATAGCCATCAGAAGTGGCATATCCATTAGTTGTCAAATTTCATGGGTGGAAGATGAAAGATTACACAACTGACTTGTATTGTATTGCCAGTGACAAAGTTGTGTAGATAGGATGCACAATCTTATGCACAGTGATAAACTTGTATAACTTTATTGCATGGTCATCCCCAGCTGAATATTCTCTAATTGTGAGATTAATGTTTGAATATTACTTTAAAATGTTTATATCCAATAAACGTATGCTTTTTATCAGCAAGTAATTTGATATAATTATAAGTGGGATTTGATCCCTCTAGCCCCTAATCACTGACCATCCCTGGGTATCAATCTGTAATTTGTAATAATAGGAATGCAAGATTTGCAATACTTCATACTTACAATGATAAATAATAAAGAAAATATAGTACAAATAACTTACCATAATCTGAATTAGATCAAACATAGTAGCCAAGCCATCAACTTTTACTTCATTTGAACCTCCTTTTATTAAATCACCAACACATTGAAGATATTTTTCCATCTTAGTCCCTATAAAAAATGACAACTTTATTTATTTAAACTCAAAAACTATTCAGTTATAATATATAAAAATCTTTTATTAAATTCATATTACAAAAATTGAAGTAAAAAAAAAGTAATGACCTTCTTGCACTAAATATCTCTTTCCGTCGGACGTTGCCCCGATAAAACCTAACGTTCGAACCGCGTGGCTCTTCAGGACGAAATCATTACTGTCACACAAGTTAAAAATAATATTCACCACCTTTGGAAGTTCTTTAAAAAGCTTTTTTGGTTGGGAGTGTCCAAGATTGCCAAAAAATTTAAGCAAACCTGTAAAATGTTTTCAAAATTTTAAATAAATTAGAACATGATAAAAGATCAAAAATTCATATAAACAGCAGATATGTTAGAAGATATTTAACTATATCTTAGTATATCTTAATAGTATAGAAAATAATACTAAATTCTTAATATATTTAACTATATCTTAAGAATTTAGTATTATTTTCTATACTATTAAATATAACTTTGTATAAAAATCATTAAATGTAACAAACATTAAGTACAGGGTGATTCAAAAAATATTAGCGTTAATACAGAAGTATCTTATTATGCTGAATGTGCAAATTTTCCACTATATCTTTTGTCATGTGCAAGAATTCACAACCCAATTGCAGAGTTTTCAAAAAAGTACAGGCCTCCTAGTCCTGTTATGACATCTGCACACCTCCACATAAATACATTAACATTTTTATGAAGTAAAGAACAAATAAAATCGTCAAATACGTACATAAAATCATACATAAACATGACAGTTGAGAAATGATTATAAAATTTAATGCATTAAACACAAGAAAATTAATGTAAATTTCATAAATACTAAATTAAAATATCACTTAATGTTACATTTGATAAATTTTTATTGAAAACATGATACCAAGACTAATTACAGATAATTAACATTATATTGCATTACTCTGTTAAACGAACATTTTTTTTCTAATGAAAAACAGTAAAAAAATCACAAATTAAGTAAATATTAAAAAATTTTTGTGACTTGATAGTTTGGAAGAAAAGATTTCTGACATTTTGGAATACAGGCAGTCTGTTGGCTGGGAAATTCTGCAGTAGTACTGTTTCTGCCAGTTTTGATTTTGGTAATGACAAAATCATTTGTGTAAATTAATTTTTTTATTTGTTGTTTGCTTAATTTATGGTTTTAACACTTTAAATTATTTTAAAAATTTAAGAGTATACAACAGCGAGTCCTTTTTCCCTATTTACATCCTTTTTAATTCCAATCCAGCAACCACAATATAACAAGAATGCTGTTGTGGAAAATTTAGTTTTTAATGTTTGTAGACGTCGTAGCCTACAAAAAAGGGTTGATTTCGAGATCATTTTTTGATAGTATTTGTCTGTTTTAGAAGTTTTACTTCAATTCGCCTGCTGTTTGTGGTTTCTGGATTGGAATTAGAAAGAAATGTAAATATAATAAAAGGACTCATTGTTTGTATAGTCTTAAATTTTCAAAATAGCTATAATAATTCTGGGCTAATGTGTACAGTACTTTACGTTATGTTTTATAAATTGTAATATAGGGATGTTTAATTGTTCAATAACTATATTAATAAATAATTTTATAATTTTTACTTTTAGTTCTTCACAACTTATTCACTTTTCGAACATTTTACTTTTTATATACATTTTTAGGAATACATTATTTCCGAAAGTAAGTCTTGAAGACTGCCTGAACAGTACCATATTTTGAAACATAATGTCATCTATTGAATATATTTACATAAAAAGCTGCAAGTTTCGCAGAACACATATATATCCAGGTAATAAAAAATTATAATACATAAAAATAAATTACCATAACTAGAAAGAATAAATGATTTTAATATAAAGTATAAAATTATAAAGGATAAATCATAAAGTTAAAAATGAACAGAAAAATCAGAAGCAAGGAAATTTTTATGCAAATTTAAGTAGGTCTTAGAACATATCTTAGTAAGTGTATTGCTATTTAACAGTCTAAATAACTTTACTTTATGATTAAATGTGAAATATTAATATAAAAAAGCTTAAAAAAAGATAAGTAATAAAAAATTCCAATAACTTTTGGATATCAGATATTCATCATCAAGAATCCTGATGATAAATATCAAATACTTGGAAGCTCATAAGTCATATTTCTGTAAGCTATTTTGCTTCATTAAAGCATATTTTGTTATAATTTTATTTTAGAATATTAAAGTTATGAAATACAGTAAGATTTCCTTATTAAAATTATTCTCAAACTCATCTATACTTAGAATAATAATTTTAAGTGAGTTAAGTAAATAATGCAATTAGTGGAAACTCCAATGAAAACATGTTAGAACATTATAATTTCTGTAACTTGAAATTTATTAATTATAATTATCATTTTTAATTAATAGTAATTTTAGGGTTTACTAATCTGATAATATTAGACTGTTGATAACAATATTTATAAATAAAATACGTAGATTTAATTATACTTATAAAAAAATTTTGTTCATGTTTTCTCACATCTCTGACTGTGTAACTGGGCGCATTGGGCAACTTTGTTCATACAATGTTAATAAATGCAATATACAGGGTGTAACTAAACTATGTACCAATATTTTAGAAGTACTTATCCCCACTTGCTACACACTGTATGAAACAATATCATACTTCAATTACTATCAAAGGCTGCCTACTATATATATTTTAAAATTTTTATTAATTTTAATATTTTAAAATATAATTTTAAGCCACACTCTAATCAGTTGATTAATTAATGCAAGGAACTAACACATCACAGGGTATACAGCAAATCTCGATTATAGCCATCAGAAGTGGCATATCCATTAGTTGTCAAATTTCATGGGTGGAAGATGAAAGATTACACAACTGACTTGTATTGTATTGCCAGTGACAAAGTTGTGTAGATAGGATGCACAATCTTATGCACAGTGATAAGCTTGTATAACTTTATTGCATGGTCATCCCCNACTAAAATTAAGATCTACCTGGAAGTATAAAAAAACCTTAAAAATCTCCAAGAGACATCGTTAACAACTTTTGTAAATTATCCAAGAAACCATACTGTTGCAGACATACGAGTCCATGCTCAACCAGCACTAAATTAGTCAACAATTCTACGCAGTTCAGCAACAGCAACATGTCATCTTTATATATTTCTGATGTTAACTGTTCTAAATACTGCATTTCAATCACTATCTGTAATGCTTGTGGAGAACAACAAGCAATTTTTACAAAAACCTGTAATAAAAAAATTAAAAATTAATATTGAATTTTATTATTTTAGTACTTTTTAATTATATTTTTTGCTAATTATGAGTAGGATTTTTCAGCAAATACACACTTGCTCCATTGATCCTACCACTGCTGGAAGAACTACTGGAAAACTTTTTTTTAAATATTTAAAAGTTTAGATGTCACAATCGATTTGATGTACTCCATAGTTGCAAAATATGCCTCCTTGAGTTTTACTTTCAGCATAGGGAACACCCAAAAATAACTCGAAAAGCAGATCTGGTGAGTATGAAGGTTGGGCAATGACAGGAGGTCTTTTGTCAGCAAGTAATTGCTACAGAACAGGTGATGAGTGTTTCAGTGTATTATTGTGATGCAGAAACCATCCTTTATGTGACTCATTGCACTATTTATGCAAAACTTCGTTTTAAAACTATGCACAAATTGCACATAGAAACTAGTAAGAGAACAAGTTTCACAACCGCGAAGAATATCAAATTAAATTTAATGGTCGAACTTTTCAATATTTAAAAAAAAGCCTTCCAATGGTTCTTTTAACAATGGCTAGATCAATGGTAAATATATATGTGCTAAATAGTTTTACTTTGATAATCACTACGTAAGCATTTCTATATTACTATTATATATCCTACTATTAGTTCTATCCCACAATTCATAAACGTTTTGACTGCCCCTATAAGTATGTATCTACGTATGTATATGTATATTTATGTTTATACATGTCTAAAGCTTGAAAGCATGTATAGTCTATAAATAATCTAGCTCACATTTCCCCCTGCCATAATTTTTCATTTATATCGGCAAAATATTTTATACCAAATTCTTAAAAACAGTCAAGATTTAACTGCAATGTCTTAAAAATAAAAATTATCAGAGTAAGCAAATTGTGTGAAACACTAATATATATGACTAAATTTTAGATCAAAGTTAATCAAAAAGAAAACATAAAAATCTACAGTTGTTTATTGAGTAGTCCTATTGCTCTTTTGTGCTCGTGTCTTAAAAAAAATGACAATATTGTATAACAAAATATTAATTTATATGTTATTCTCAAATTGAAAATTTCATTTTTTGTTATACAATATTTTAAAAAGTTGCATCGTTAAAAATTTATAAAAACAGTGACTCAAAAGATTACCGATCAGGACAACTGTTCCATGTCGGAGTAACGAACGTTATCAATAATGATAAATCTAAGACTTTGTGTGCGTCATTCGTCATTCTTTCTTTGAAAATATGGAGCCAGGTTATACAGTTTTGAATATCAAGTCCTGTAGGATGAAAAATAGAAGAAAAAAACATTTTAAAACATATTGTTTCCAACCACACCAGAAGTATCGTTGACATCATACGAATGGCTTACCAGCATGAGTCGCTTTACGTCATGAACGGTCATTTGAAATTCTGTGGTTATATTTCTTAACTCAACATTAACATTATATTTTAATATAAAATCTACGGTGTTTTGCATTACATTTTCATTGACTTCGTTTAGATTCTGCATTCTTNACAAGCAATTTTTACAAAAACCTGTAATAAAAAAATTAAAAATTAATATTAAATTTTATTATTTTAGTACTTTTTAATTATATTTTTTGCTAATTGAGAGTAGGATCCTTCAGCAAATACACACTTGCTCCATCGATCCTACCACTGGGAGACTTCTTTTGGAATATTTAAGAGTTTAGATATCACAATCGATTTGATGTCCTTCATAGTTGCAAAATGTGTCTCCTTGAGTCTTACTTTCAGCATTGGGAACACCCAAAAATAACTCGAAAAGGAGATCTGGTGAGTATGAAGGTTGGGCAATGACAGGAGGTCTTTTGTCAGCAAGGAATTGATGCAGAACAGATGATGAGTGTCTCAGTGTATTATTGTGATGCAGAAACCATTCTTCCTGCCACTTGTTGCACCATTTATGCCAAACTGCATCTTAAAACTATGCACAAATTGCACATAGAAACTAGTAAGAGAACACGTTTCACAACCATGAAGGATATCAAATTAAACTTAATGGTCAAACTTCTGAATATTCCAAAAGAAGCCTTCCAATGGTGCTTCCAACAATGGCAGGATCAATGGAGAATATGTATGTGCGCTAAATGGTTCTACTTTGAAAATCATTAGGTAAGCATTTCCATATCCTACCATTAGTTCTATTCCACAATCCATAAACGTTTTGACTGCCTCTATATTTATGTATGTATGTATGTATGTATGTATGTATGTATATGTATATTTATGTTTATACATGTCTAAAGCTTGAAAGCATTTATGGTCTATAAATAATCTAGCTCACATTTTTCCCCCTAATTCTTCATTTAAATTAGCAAGAGATTTTATACCACATTCTTGAGAACTGTCAAGATTTAACTGCCATGTCTTAAAAATAAGAATTATCAGAGTAAGCAAATTGTGTGAAACACTGATCTAAAATTTAGTTATATATTTTGAAGTTAATTATGGAAAGACGACAAATGTAAAAATGAAAATTTATTATCCTTGAGAATTATTATTAATGTCTTTAAAGGTCATCCCTCAAAAATATTAATACATTCGCAGCATTGATATAACTTTCTTGTAACTTGATACATTGAAGTGGGAAAGAAAGGCAAATCCTGGAGTTTTATGATACAGATGATGCATAAGCTCATGGAAAAATGAAGATAATTACTGTAAATCTTAAAATGTAAGATGCACCATAATTTCAAAATTGAATTTTAAGACATTTTTGTGAAGTGAAAAACTTTAAAATCAATTTTATTACATTTTGTTAAGTAACAACTAATTATAAAAACAATAAAAATGCCATAAAATTGGTAACATTTGGCATCTTTGGTTCCCTGTTCTTCTGCTGATACAACAATTTTGATTTTTTAATGCTGAATCATGTTGTAAAGGCATTTTAATGTTTATGAAAGGAACTTAAATTAAATGCTTGTTATTAGCAAAACTCATTGAGTGGTATATCAAAAATATCTGTTATTGGTGCATAATATACCCTTGATCTACTTGCAACAACTGCTAATTGTTGTTTCAGACTACAAATGTAGAATGTGTCCCTTTTGGATAAGTAAACATGGATAAAAAAAAAAGTGAATCTTAGAGCTGAGGAAGTATGGTGTAGACAGAAAATAAGTACTTAAGAAATTTATTAATAACAACACTGTAAAATATGGATTTTTAAAAGATTGCTGTATCTTATATAATCAAAAATTAATGTGCTTAAAACAGTTTGGATCAATTTTTTCGTGTATTATGTTGTTATAATGAATTATAATTTTGTAAGAATGTATAAAATTATATAATTTGCAAACAGAAAGCAATCCTTGAAATATTTTCCAATGATTACCAACTAAAATAAAAGTATCTGAGATTAGCAAATGAGAAAATTATCAAATGAATACTATGATACAAATGAGAAAATTATCATCCAGGCATTAAACTACATATAAATATCACTATAAATTACTAGCGCTTTTGACAAAACTATTTTTGTCTTCTTCTTCTTTATACATAGTTTAACACCTGGATGATAATTTTCTTGTTTCTTGCTTATCTATTGATCTGGGTGAAGTTCAATCCCATTCATATTTATATCTGAGATTCTTTAACATAAGCATTTTTAATTATTAATACCCTAACAAAAAAAATGACAAAATTGTAGAAAAGTATTAATTTATCACAAAGATAGCTTTTAATAAATGAGAGTCAATTTTCCACACATTATTGCTTCTACCTTAATGAAGGAAAAAACACATNTACAATATTTTAAAAAGTTGCATCGTTAAAAATTTATAAAAACAGTGACTCAAAAGATTACCGATCAGGACAACTGTTCCATGTCGGAGTAACGAACGTTATCAATAATGATAAATCTAAGACTTTGTGTGCGTCATTCGTCATTCTTTCTTTGAAAATATGGAGCCAGGTTATACAGTTTTGAATATCAAGTCCTGTAGGATGAAAAATAGAAGAAAAAAACATTTTAAAACATATTGTTTCCAACCACACCAGAAGTATCGTTGACATCATACGAATGGCTTACCAGCATGAGTCGCTTTACGTCATGAACGGTCATTTGAAATTCTGTGGTTATATTTCTTAACTCAACATTAACATTATATTTTAATATAAAATCTACGGTGTTTTGCATTACATTTTCATTGACTTCGTTTAGATTCTGCATTCTTTAGCGATTTGCTTGCTGTCGTATGACTTCGATTACGAAAATCAGAGAACTACAACAAAACGTATCATTCGTCCATATTTATACTCGACACAGAGGGTGTGTTAAACCAGTTATGATAAAGCTGGATAATCAACGCAATGACACGGGTCGTTTCATTTGAAACAGGATACGCTATTGTCTTGCTTATCCAGCAGTATTCACCCCGTGTGCCATTTAACACGCCCGGTATGCAAATATGCTCTTCCACAAAGGACAAAAAAGTAACATTCAATTATGAAATTTTATTTGATTAAATATAAGTAAGATTATTTTATATTAATTAGTTGTATGAATACAACATGTATAGAAATAAATTGTATTTAAATTAGCAAATTGTCTAATTTGCATTCTTGGTTTAATCGTAATAACATTAAGAAAACAATTTGCATTATAGATTTGTATAAATAAATTAGAAATACTCATATCTCAGAAAATTTTCGATTTTTGGATATTTTTTAAGTCTCCAAATTTTTCAAAAATTTTATCG